GGAGGAAGCTTGGCGGGCGGTGGGGCAGCAGCTGCAGTGAGGAGCCCTCTCCAGAGCAGCAGCACGTGAGGTGGGCAGGGGACACCTGAAGCACACCTCCTGTTTTGCCATCCCTGTCACAGATTTCTCGCGGCTTTTGTACCGTAGCTTGTTCTGCTGCTCCATTTGCTGCTGCCTCTGGAGCCCAGCCAGAGGTGCTGTGGGCTGAAACACGTGGTGGTTTCCCAGGCTGGGTGATGACACTGAAGCGTTTCACCCTGTTGTTAAAGGCTCCCTGTAGCACCCTTCAGAAGCACCCATCTTGGCATTGTTGTGAATGCAGAGCCCTTCACTGTTTGTGGTCTGCCTGAGCTTTTGTTCCTCTCTTATCCTGGCACTTTGAATTTATCTGGTGGTCCAGTGAGAAAAGTCAACTGTGTTTGTGTGAGTAACTCCCGTAAAATACCTGTGAGGCATTTAAAGGAACAATTATTTATTTGTCTAATCTGAGGAATGTCATCCTCCCTGTTATTCTGACTGAGAAACCAAGACTGCTAACAAATGAAGGGATTTGACCAGTTTGGTTGTCGTAACAGGTGGCCAAAGCCTGCTGATGCCCTGTGATGTCCCCACCAACGTCCCGTTCTGTACTTCAGGGTATTGACAGGGAGTGTTTCCTAGCAGAGAAGCTGTACTGTCTTCAATTAGTTCGTTTTGGCAAGTGCCATTTTAGGTTGGCTGACAGCTTAAAGCAATTCGTGGCACTTTGGACTGTGCCTGAAAACTTTGGGGATAGCCAAAAAAAAGAGGTTACCATCAGGTGAGGTGAGCCTGCCAGTGTGTCAGCTGCTCTTCAGGAGCTGCTCGTCCAGCTCCTCCTGCAGAGTTTGTTCTCCGGTACATGCCTCTGCCGTGCTAGAGCGTAGCATGGGTGAGGGCTGGCTTCTCACTGGCAGAGTCCCTAGATCGTCAGCCCGGACCTCTTGTAGACAGCCCAAAAGCCAGGTATGAAGTGATGTGACTGTTACTGCATGCAAAGTTGTATGCAAACCAAGGCAAATCAGTACAGCTCTGCGTAGGCATGTGCAGGTCCATCACCCAGAGCTTAGGTCTCCTTGGAAAGGAGCCTGTCATCCTCTGCACCCCAGCAGAAGTTCTGCTTTCAGGTCTGTTTCATGCTTCTATCAGAAGAAGAGCAGTGGTTTGGTGGGAGAGTGTAGGACTGTCAGGAATTAGGCGTGATCCTCCTTACACGCATTATCTCTTAGCTACATGCTCCTTACCCTGAGTGATTGATTATGTAAGAGTAAGTTGGTGTTCACTCAGCAGGGCTTTCTGTAATGCAGGATAAAGTTCCCAGAGCTTGGTCTTTTCCTGCTTACTGCTCTTCAGCCTCTCCTAGTGTACATCTGGACCGCCCAGAATCAAGCGTCCCGCTCCCTGCGCTGGCCACTGGCTCCCTCCTGGCCCCCTCCAGGAGCCATGGGCACCGACTGGGAAGTGCAGCTTTTGGCCCCAACGCGGCGTGCTCCCAGTCGCTCTGCTGATGCGGCTGCTTTCCATGTGTGCTTTGTTCCACGTGAGCTTTGCCTCATTTCTGTGGAGTCTAGAAAGTTGCTGTCTCTTGTGTAACCACATATGCAGCGAAAATCTTGTGCAAATAGACAGATCTCAGTTTGCCTTTGAAATGTGGCAAGGCTTGAGCTTTTCCAGCTCTCTGCAGTCCAGAGCAATGGACATAAAACGTCCCTGTGCTCTGGCTTTTCTTAGCCTCCTCAGCCTCTCTGCCATTGGAGGAGTTGCAGAAGGGGCAAGAAGTTGCCCTTACGTAACTCATGTTCCTTTGAGGGCTTTCCAGCAGTCCTGAAACAGAGCTGACTTGCAAAGAAGAGCTCTCTTTGCAGTCCCAACTACAGCTGAAATGGAAGATGGTGGTTTGGAGCCACTGAAGCACCTGAGTATCCAAATCCAGGACCTGAGGACCACTGAGGAGTGGTTGGCTTCCAGCAGGGGGTTTGTGTCCTTTCCAGCCAAAGGCAAGGAAGGGGAGGTCTGTCCTTGGACACAGAGGAGATGTGGGAAGAGTGTAGAATCCAGCCCAGCATCAGACTTTGCATCCGCTTGAAAATCAGCAGGTGGATGTCTAGTGACAAAGACAGTGGGAGCATCTTTCCCAGAAGGCCTTCAAATTCTGTCAACTTACTCTCTGTTTTATTTGCCAGTCTTACTGGCTTTTTGTGAGTTAGAGCGCCATGCCATATCAGATGTCTAACATCCAATATCTCTTCATTGTCAGGGGCCAGCACCTGGAACTCCAGCAAATAAGGGCAAAAAATCCTGTAAGGAGCAAGAATAGATGAGCTGCCTGCAGGAGAAAGGCCTCCCTAGCTGCTGGCGGGGTTTGCCTCATGCTACACGTTGGTCATGCATTTGGTTTGCATAAGCATGCAGTTTATGAATATAACGCACTTAGATCTGTGTCCCTAATTCCAAACTTAGGTGATCAGTCCTTTACCTCAGGTGTTTTCTTTACATCCCATACCTGACACTTGAGAATTTTAGAGAATGCTTAGTCTTCTAACCCCTTGAACTTTCAATTTGGTTGTCAGCCATATCTACAGATGGAGCGTGTGGAGTGTTCAGGACTCAAAAGGACAGGGAAGATTTTATGTTCTTTGATTGAGTTTATGTATTGATCGTTTTTTGCTGCTGTTGTTTGATGAGAGATGCTAGAGCTTTCAGCACAGTTTAGTGTGGAGGCTTCGATGAAGGATCAGCTGAGATGCTCCTTTTGAGCAGACCATTCCCAGGGTGCAGGGTCAGAGAAGTCTGCTCGTGTTGGTCTGAAAGTTTACCCTGTCGCTTGTCTTAAAAAGTTGCAGTTAAATTCTGTCATAGATGAATGCATAAAAATATGTCTTGGAATTAGAACACTTTGCAGTTCTAGGGAAAAAAAAAAAAGAAATATAGTTTTCTGTGTAGGTTGCAAAAATGTTTGGTACCATTTCCCACCCCCACCATCACTACCAGTACCACTGATACTTGGGAGGGGAAGCTTCCTTTTTATTTCCTTCACCAGTGAACAAGACAGCTGCAAATTCAGGACTGGCCTGATCAATAACATCACCAGGAAGAATGCTTTGGTACACTTGAAATTTCACGTGTAGGCTCCCTTTGGAAAGGAGAACCTCTGCTGTGCTTCTGCATGAAGACAGGAGATTGTGTTGTTCCTTGGGTTTAGGTTGTGACCTTGCAGTAGGTACAGCCTTATGAGCCTCTGAGACAGGACCTCTGAGTCTGAGGCCTCTCTAGGCTACTGCCTGTGGCACTAGCGTCTGACTTGAGGTTCTTGTAGGTTGTGTCTCTTGTTCTTGGATATAAATGTAGCAGGAGGAGAGGTCTGAGTCTCTAGCTTTACCCAGTACAGCAGCAATAACTACAGTGGAGCTGTATCTTTTACATATGTTAGATTAAAAGCAGTCCTGTGATGTGACATTTCACTGGCTGCCCAACCTAGTACCGAACACAAGCTCTTACAAAAAAAACCAGCAATCCCAGTCGTGTAACATCAGATCCTCCTCTGGTATGGAAGAAAGTCAGCCAAGCTACACTTGAATGCCAACAGCTGAGGGACAGGGACATATGTTTTGCTAAAAAATACACGGTCATGTTTTTTTCTCGGGTCTAGGCTGTGTAATATCATGTGACAGACCCAAATATCCATGGTAACATCCGATGAAAAATAGAAGAGAGCTTACCATATTTTATTATTTGAGAGTCTTATGGGAGTCTGAGACCAGCTCAGAAGTTTGTGAATCTAGGTTTACAGCTGGGGCTATCACTGTACAGAGCTGTAAATAGACAGGTCACTTCTGTGGGAGATCCAAGTGCTGTTGTGCAGATCCAGGAAGCAGGTCACCAGATGACTTTGTTTCACTACCCTTTTGCTCTGTAGCCTGTCTCCCAGGGCATCACTCATGATTTCAAAATCTCAAGAGCATGTATTTAAACCAACTTGCCAGAGAAAAGCTCCTTCCTTTCCTTCTTATTAATGCTTCTTGCATATCATCTGATGCCTGTGTGTAAATAGAGAGAGTGTGATAGAAACCTGTGTTTCAATCATTTAGCCATGCTACATCAAGTTGGAGACATTTGAGCAGTAGATCAGTGTCCTGAACATGCTTTGTAGTTGTTAGGGAACAGTTCAAATTCCTGGTTAAGGTCAAGATGGCCAAGAGCTACTCCATTTATCAGTGTCAAGCTCATACTCATTGTATTTCCTGCTTGTGAAAGATGTGAGCTGTATACAGCTTAGGAAGGGAGCAGGCACCAGTGGTTCACTACAGCACCACCTGTGAAACAATTCCCTTTGTAATGTGGTTATTGGCATATGGAGAAAAGCTATCATGGCCACCTGTAGGTACCTTAAATACACTGCTGCTTTGACTTGTATTGCTCCCAGCTCTTTATGGTGGCATCATGGAAATGGCATGTCTGTTGTGGGGAGATTTTCTGTTTCATATCCTACAAACCAATTCAGAGGAGGGCTCTGAATACAGGGAAGAGCCTCCTTGCCCATAAATCACAAGAAAACAGTATCAAAAGCATTGGCCTGCATAGGAAATGGTATATATCAGGTGTTGGCTGGTAGTTCCCAAAAACCGCTCAAAGCTCCCGAAGCATGTCTAAAATGTATTATTTTTTTGTGGTGTGCACAGAATACATGGTTTGGAGTTCTCAGAGGACAGCAGTCTGCAACTGTGAAGCGCTGCCAGCTGGGCTGGCTTTCACTGCCATTCAGCAACACTGCTGCTATTCCAAGCTCCTGTTTTAATTTGAAACAGTCTTCTCTTTATCTAATCATTCAAAACTAAAATCTACATGGAAAGAAAACAGCTCCTTAAGTGGGAAGGCCAAGAATGAGTCCTGAGGCAACTGTGGCTGATAAAGTTGAGGCCATAAACAGTAACCAAGAAATGGCAGCTGTCCAGTCTGTCCTGCTTTTGAGCTTGCACTTACAGTATTTTCCTTGTTTTCTCAGAAGAATAAAGTGATCAAGTGTTGATGAGACCTATTTAATTGTAAATTATGCCTCAGCCCCCCCCTGTTCTTCCACCTACAGCTGATAGGGTTTTCAAAGATAAAGCTTTCCTTCTGCTTATTCCTGAAAATTCCACTCAGCAAGCCAGATTTCTCTTTACTACCATAGTAGCAGTACCAGTGTTAAAAGTACATGAAATGCTTTGATTTTGGTGGTGTTGTTGGTGAGGATTTTGTAGTCGAGTCATTCTAAAATGGAATGGTAATAAAATGAAGGGTTACAACCTATGTCAGATGTTTTTGGAGGAACTACATACTGGCACGGTTGTGACTTTTCTTATAACGTGGTAGGTAAAGGAATTACTGATTCATTGCTTAAGTGTTTCTGTCATAAAATGATGATCTATAGCTTTTCTTTTGTAGGTCAATGTTGTATTGGTTACAAAATAGACTAACATTCCGTGGGTCTAGTAAGATACGTGCACTCTCATTGCTGTGGGAAAGTGATTAAAGGCAGAGGATGAAGAATCTTCGCCCTATTCAGGGACCTCAAAAAGGCACAAATCCAAGTTTGCCGACATGAAATCCATGTCTGTCACTTGCAGGTTTTCCTCACAGGCCACTGAAAAACAAAGTCTAATTGCTTTGGAGTCAGAATCTCACAGCTGTATTGGAATCTGACATTTTTAGGCAAAGAAATCATAAACACAAGAATCTCATCCTCTTTTCTGGCCTTGCTGTTCCTGAGGGGCTTCTCTTAGGACCTCTTGGCCTCCCACTCTTGAGCTCCACTTTCATTTGTAGTGTTGGCGTGTTTGGTGGTATCTTACACCAGGTTGGGTTTTGCTGACGCAGGAAATGCAACAGGATTATTGTGTAATAGCTGGTAAGTCTTCATTCTGAAAAATGTCAGGCAGGAGTGTTTGTGGGAAGAAGTAGAACAGCAAACCCAACAAATGTCTGCCCCTAGCCTGCAAGTGTTGGATCTTGTTTATATTTAATGAGATGCTTCCAAGTAAAATGTATCTGTAAGCATTTGTAGAGTTGGGGTCTCGAATCCTATGGCCTGCACTTGTTCCTAGGGCATAATTCCCGTCTTTCCTATAAATATCATTCAGTATCTGTCATTAACAGCTAACCTGTTTTTCTCTTCTTTCAGGGAACAGTGCTGAAAAATGGCACGGAAACCTTTGAAGCCTGGGAGGATCCTCCTCCACCAGTCTACATGCAGTTCTACTTTTTTAATGTGACCAATCCTTTAGAAGTGCTTCAAGGTGATACTCCTCTTGTAGAGGAAATAGGGCCGTACACTTACAGGTAGGACCATTTTGCAGTTTTCACATTTCACTAAACCTGTTCTATCTGAGGAAACCAAAAAGTATGATCCAGAAGGCTTGGGATCCCATGCTAGGAGAAAACTTCACTGTTAATGTGCAAGTAGAAGTTTATTCAGGGATCATACAGCACTTGGACCGTACCACTAGGCTGACACTTGGAGAACCTGCCATCAGTTTCAGATGAAGCCAGTGACCTGTGTCATATTTGGAGCAAGATTTTGCTGGTGTGCTGCTGTTCCTCAGCTGCTGAACACAGAGGAAGTTGTTAGCACCCTGGCTTACTGTCTTACCAGAGAAAACCCATTGACTGGGTGGGTGATATCTGGGCAGAGGAGTGTTGCATAAAACCATGACTCATGTGTTCACTCAGAAATTAGTTCCTAGCTGAAGTTGCACAATTTGCATCAGTGAAAATGTAGTCAGAAAACGCGTTAGAGAATGGTACTACAGGGATCTTCCTCAGCTAACCCTCACTATAAATCGTAGATTCAGACACATCTGCCATTTTTGCAGACAGCAAGACTTACTAAGGCCACGTGTGGTGTTGGAGCTTACCCAGCCTTTTGAACTCTCCTTTTGTGTGGTATTCCTGAATAGTCCAAGTCTGCTGCATGTAGAGAGGCTTTAAAGTCATTTCAGAAGTGGGGTTTCCTTCAGAGCTTTATTCTTCTCTGCTGCATTCAGCATTGTAAAGCAGGCAGGAGAAAAGATAGAGAAGCTTTTGAGTTTTTGGGCTTGTCTTCAGGTCTCTAGGATAAAGCTGATAATTAGTCAGTGGTATATTCTCTGTGTCAGGAAGATAAACAGAGCCACTCACACTGGTCAATGGCTTAGGGGAGGCCCAGGTAAAGCTGCTGTTTTGTGCCTTGCTGAAGGAGAGCCTTCCCCTGCAACTCAGGCCACAGGCTGGCCAGGATCTGGGAGCGGGTGGAGCAGTGCAGGCTCTCCCTGAACTGTTTATTGGTGTACGAGGGAGGGAGCCTGCCTGTTTCAGTTGCTTCTGGTTTGCTTGGTTAGCCCAATCTCGACATGTTTGAACAGGTTTCGATTGTGCTGTGCTCTGACAGAGGAAAGGTAGAAAGTGGAGTGCTCTTTTCCAGCAGATTCTTTAATCCTTGCCTAGCTGTGGCTGCCGACTCTTTCCAGACTGTCAGCGATGGGTGGGGAAGAGAGGAGGAGTGAGGGAGGAGAGGGAGAAGGGAGGGATGTCGCAGACATACTGCACACTAGAGCCAGAAAATAAATCCCATAAATCCCATGTAGCAAAGTGTTAAAGACTCATTTTGGTTTAGCATATGGTATAACACCTAAAATGCCCCACTGTGAAGTGCATGGCTCAGTGTTGTTATAAAACAGGGTACTGGGGAGAAAGGCTGGAAATGAACTGGCCCAGAGAAGGAGAGGAAAAAATTCTAATGAGCAACAGAGAGGAGGTGGGATTGCTAAACAGAATCTCTTCCTGCATACTTTTCCTGCAATTCATAGTTTTGACCAAGGTACATTGTAAACTCAGTTAGCACAGGGGTAGATTCTGTAACAAAAATGTAGTACCACTGTTGTTTTTGAATCCTGGAAGCTGAATTTGCAGCATATAAAATAATTAATTATGAAGTGCAAGCTGCTTATCTGCCCAAGCCTGCTGAGTCCCAAACAACGCTTGAATATTATCTGGTCTTGCATACAATTACAGCTTTTTGTCTTTAGCATCTGAAGTCCTCCTACTCATATCCCTATTCAAGGAGTATTGTTTTCCTCTCTGTCCCTTTTAGGGTTGGAGAGACTTCTCAGGTTAACTCTGGCCTATTTTAAGGGAGGCACTTTACAACTGTCCATCTCCATCCCCTAGCCTTAGGGTATAAAGTAGATTGCTGTACAACAGGCTCTTGCAAAATCAAGCTGGAAGTCTGGCCAGACCAAAATATTCCAGGGTAGTAGGGATGTTGAAGAGTGACAGATAAGCTGTTTGTATAAGGGAGATGAGAAATGGTTGGTTTCTAACCAGAACAGCTTCATGGGCCTTTCCAGTTTGCTTTAAATCTGGAAAACTGAACCAGAGTAATAGAGCCTGTCATGAAGCTGCCTTAGTGGATCCAGCTCAGTGTGAGCCTGAGCCAGCCAGTGCTGCAGAGTTGTATGGGTTTGTTTGTAAGATGGTTGTGGCAAGTAACTGAATGACAGTTACGGCTTGTGTTTCAAGTTAATTAAAATCTGACTTCCTCATCAGGCCAGCAGGTAGCATTTGATGTTCCTTGTCAATTGCACTCGTTTGTCAGCAATCCTGAGTTTTATGCTGCTTGTCTGAGTGCTTAGACAATAACAGGAGCAACCTCCCCGGCTGTGAGTAGTTGTCATCAAAAATTCAAGTGAATTTCTGTTGCGTGCAACATTCCTGCCTGAGAATTAAAGGAGAAGAGCTAAAATGAGGCTTGTTTTGTGGTTGTGTCAAGTGTAAGCCCAGAAGTCCTAGTGCAAAGTACTTTGAAGCCAGCAGGAAGATTCTGGTAGGTTCTTAGGTCAGGTTAATGAGACTTCCACGAAGCCTACGTCTTGTTCTGCCTGGGAGTGAATTTTGCCTGCAGCAAAGAGGCGAAACTTTTGTTTTCAAATTGTACTTCAGGGATGAAGTCCCATATCTAGTGCCTTTAAATCCTTCTGTGCTGTCTGAAGTTGTTCTCATACCTTGGAGGTTTTTAAAGACAAGGCAAAAATATAAATTGCAATTAACATGTGGGGTGGCCCCCTGCGTTTGGAAGCCCCCTGTGAGGTCTGATTTAGCTTGCACTGACACAAAGGGGAATTCTGTTGCTGACAGTAGCAGTAGCAAAAAATAATCTAATCCTAATGAACTGAAAATCCCACCCTTTATATTCCTAAAGCAATAGAACAGCCGTAAGTTACTTGCAGTTAATGTTATATGTACTTGTTTAACTTGACTGGAGAGCAAACTCTCTTATTTTTCAGAGAATACAGGCCAAGAGTGCACGTTCAGTTTTTGGACAACGGAACCAAAGTGTCTGCTCTGAATCCAAAGACATACATATTTGAACCTCAGAAGTCAGTTGGAAACCCTGAAGTGGACCTGATTAGAACAATTAATATTCCTGCAGTGGTGAGTTCTCTTTCATTTCTGCTTGGAAATCATCGTAACACACTTGAGCAGCATGTTGCTTCATAGTGTCTCTCCCTTTGTGGTAGATAAATGTGTTTGAAGAACGAGAAAGGCAGCTTATGTCTGGGGCAGATGCTACATTCAGTTTTGGTTTGGACTGTGTGGGTTTGGTTTTTCTTTATGATGTTCCTCCCTCACCTTACACCTCTGTAGCATTAGTGCCTCACTCTTGTGCTGAGAGCTGACACACACTTCAGAGGTGATCAGAAATCAGGCTTGTGGCTTTCTAAATTTCTAAGTGAAACTAGGGAGTTACGGATGTCAAGTGAATTGGAGGGACTCTGACTTTGGAATGAGGCAGTTTGGAATGCTTGGGGTTGGGTTTGTCAAAACTGCAAAAACTGCCTCTAAGTCTGGATCTCAACCTGAAAAAAATATTATTGCAGAGGAGCTTTGGATACAGCTGAATGAAAAGGTGCCCTCAGAATGAAATGAAAGATAAAACATGCACCCCCAAACTGTGTTAGAAGCAAGTACTCTGCAAAGAAAGTCTTGGTTTGGTGATCAGAGGCAGACCATTATTTGTGGTATCATACAGGGACAGTATGAGAAGAAGCAGATCTAAAGCTGACATACCTGGCAAAGGAAATTAGACTGTACTGAATTACTTGCTGGTTGTGTCACTAAGCCTTTACTTCCCATACTACTTTAATTGGCTTCAATTACAGGGTACATTCCTTTCTACTTTTGCCTCAGCATTTCCAAAAAGTCTTGTCTGATTTTATGAATGAATACATAAATGCACTGTATATAGTAGTGGAGACGACTCAGCTTACTAGAAGTTGTAAACGTTACAGTTGGGGTATTCAGAGTGTCTCCCAGGCACTTGAGTGGTGGTAAGTATTATTTCGTTAAGGTTTTTGGCTGTGGTGCATTGTAACAGGCAGTACTAGAACTACAGGCTGGTTCGCCCAAGGAATATTCCTTCTTTTGTTTTTGCCTTTTTAAAGATACATTGTAAAATTATTTGTCAGCTAGGTAGGAAATAAATTTTGGTGTTGTTTACATTTTGGAGAAATGGGTATCTCTTCAAAATGGCTTTTAAAAATGTAAACCAAGACTTCTTACAGGTGAAATTCACAGCTCATCTCCAGCTGTAATACACTTATGAAATTCAAGCTGGTTAGAAAGCGGTTTTGCACATTTCACATAAAATCCATTCTAAAGACTATAGCATGGAGCTGAGTTTGTTGTGTGCCAGTGCCAGGCTGAAGGGGAATCTACAAGAACACATCCCTGGGGGAGAAAAGCTGAAGAACCTGTTAGCCAGCACATGACTTGGTGTGAGCAGAAGAAACAAAACTGAAAACACAGCTGAAAGTGCGGTGCTGAAATGTGTCTTTTTGTGTCTGCAGCTGATGTTATTTATTCTACAGGAAATCTGACCATTGTTCCCTTTTTCCAATCCCCTGGCAGACTGCCATGGAGTGGACCAGGTCAACCCCTCTTCAGTTTGCCACAGAGGTGCTGCTGCTCCTGTATCAAGAATCCCTGTTTACAGTTCACACCGTTCATGAGTTACTGTGGGGCTACAAAGACAAGCTCCTGTCAGCCATTCATATTCTGCACCCGGAGATCGATCCAGTGTTTGGTTTATTTAACAAGGTGACTGCTCTGCAAGACTTGCTGATGCTTTAGGTGGGGAGTGACCATGGTGGCTTGAATAACATAGGCTTCATGGGGCTGGTTGTGCCAATTACCTTCATAATTTCCTGAAGTTGTGTGTTATTTCTGTGCTGGAGCTGTTACCAGTGTCCACAGTGTTTCTGGTGGCATATCATTTTAGGCTGTGGGGACTCCTTGTTTCTTGGAGATCATCTGCAGTGCTCAGGTTATTTTCTATGTGTTTATATTTTTTGGCTAAGGGCTATTTTCTCAGTGGCAGATTCAAAAGACAAAAAAAAAGGCTAATCTAATGTTCTCATCGCTTCACTTGAGTGGTGTAAGAATCTACCCCAGTCACTTCCACCTCGTTAATGACTTGCACGTACCTCAGAGGGAGTCCATCACTCCTAGAGTGGATTTGAAGAGATGACAGCTTAAACTCCTGCCACCCCATTGGAGCTCCTAGTCAGGTTTTAATAGAGTGAGCAAAGTGATTAAAAATTTGTGTGTCTCTTTGCAGATGAATGGAACTGATGATGGAGAATATGTTTTTCTGAGTGGGGAAACAGACTACCTTAACTTCTCAAGGATTGTGGAATGGAAAGGAAAAGAGTAAGTTTTTCATTGTGGTGTGGTCTCTTAAGTATTGTTTACAAAAAAAAAGGGTCCTTTTATTCTGAGGGTGGCAGTAGCTCTTGACTGGCGCCAGTTCAAAGAGACTATAGGTGCAATTTAAACCCATTTTAATCCTCTTTTTTGTTAGTGGCTCCGAGGCAAGAGGACTTAGGTCTGTACTGGTCTGATTCCCATCTGCTTAGCCCATGAGCAGCCATCCCCTGACCACCGCTCAAAGCTCTTTTAACCCTTGCTGTCTTTGTTTTGTTTTCTTCAGGTCATTGAGCTGGTGGACAACAGAGACATGTAACATGATCAATGGAACAGATGGGACATCCTTCCACCCGCTCATCAGCAAAGATGAGAACATTTATATCTTTTCTTCTGATTTCTGCAGGTAAGGAGAAGAAAAAGTCATTCCAACTTTAAAGCAGTGCATTTGTATCCATTCCTGTTGAGGTTTCATGTTAAGCTGGTATTTTTCCTCCTGTGACTTTATTTAACAGTACGAGCATTCTGCTTTTATTCCTGGTATGAAAGATGAGAGAGTTACACCAAAAATAAAACAATCTGCATCAAGTCTGTGCTAAAACAGACAAAGACAGTCTGGATTGCTTTGCAAGACTAGTAATGGTGGACTGGAAGAATTTATGTGAACTTTGCCCAAAGCTTCTTTCCCCCAAAACCTTTCTCTGTGCTTAGCTTTTTCAGAGGACCTAGACTGCTTGCTTCAGAGATTCATGACTTGACATAATGCCGTTTAAAATGCAACAAGACGCAGAAAGTCTTGAGTGTTTCTTTCTTTATGTTACACTTTGTCTCCTCCCTTGCCCATTTCTCTATCCGTGAAGAGCAAAACCGATCTGAGATTCTCTGATTAAGTCAATACAGATGGGTGCTACACAAAGTTCAGGACTTACCAAATGCTTTTGTTTTCCACAACTGTGCCTCTTTCTTTGTCCCTCCGAGTACCATGGACCAGTACTGCCTCAGTGTAGGCAGCGGTGTCCCAGCAGCAGCACCGCTGGTGCAGGGTCATCTGGTTTGTGCAGCAGCAGGATGATGAGATGTGTGTTTGCTGACCAAAAGGCTATTGAATTTAGTGCAGATCATTGGAATGAGTTTAAACCAAGCCGGTAGCTTATTGCGAACCGAAGCCGATACACAGGCATCAGCAAAGAGGCACCTGCAGCAGGTGTGCCGGAGGCTAACAAACCTGGGTCTGGCTTTTCTTCCTGGCAGATCCCTGTACGTGGTGTACGACAGCTCCGGCAGCGTGGCGGGCATCCCGACGTACCGCTTCGTGCCCTCCGCCATGGTGTTTGCCAACACCAGCGTCAACCCGGACAACGCCGGCTTCTGCGTCCCGCCGGGGAACTGCCCTGGCGCGGGCGTCCTCAACGTCAGCGTCTGCAAGCAAGGTGTGAGGCCAGACTGCAGGGGTGGCAGTGGGAATGTGTTCCTGCTTCCTGTCTGAAATACATGAAGATGTGAGGCCTGTAGGGTCATGACTGTGCTCAGCGAAATCGGCCACCAACAAGTGTCTGTAAAATGGGGTGAATGTAAGATGTCTGAGGAGATGTTCCTGTGTGATGCTGTCTGCTCCAGCTATGACTAAACCAAGGAGTCAGAAGGAAGTACCAGGACTTTAGTGAACAGCTCGGGCATTTATCCTCTGCCCTTATCCAGGTAGTTGTTCACATCTGAGTAGCTGGATGAAGAGTGCACAGGTCCAGCATGCAAAGCTTGAGACGTGAAGCCGTGCTGATGCTGCACAAGGGAACATTTGGCTTATTCTGAAGTCAAAGTGTTGATTCTGTAGCTCCACAGTGGACTTCTCCTTTCACTGTAAATGGCACAGCAGGAAGAGTTTTGAGGTCCCCAAAGACCTCCCCAAATCCTGCTCTGCCTTTTTTTAACGTGGTGAATTTCTGTGTCTTCACATTCTAGGTGCTCCAATATTTCTGTCAGCTCCACATTTTTACCAAGCAGACCCAAAATTCATAGAGGACATAGAGGGCATGCACCCAAAAAAGGAATATCATGAGACATTTCTGGACATCAACCCTGTAAGTGCAGCCTTTTTAGAAGGGTCTTTAGGTGGATCCAAGCATGTGGGTTTAAGTCACCTTCTTGGGTGGTGTGTATCAACATAGTCCCATTGACCTACAGGAAGCCCTTCTAGTCTATGTGGAACTGCTCTATTTGTGTTTGCTTGCATAGAGCAAACGTTGCTGGATAGCAAGAATTAAAATACTTTTCCCATTGTGCCTGTGCGATTAGAGATGCCATCAGACTGGTAACGTGATGAAGGGGTTGAGATATTTTTTAGAAGCAGATTAGGGTCCCTCTCTTCACCTTTCAATCCCAACCATCTGTGTTCTCTCCAAGTTGAAGAAGTGAGGTATGTGGATCAAAAGAGCAAATCAGTGAAGATTGAGTGTATGTTGGACCAAGTTTAGACAGCATGGAGTCATGTGAGGAGAGATACAGAAGTGTGGTGGTTAGGTCTTTCATGGAAGTCTACAGGGTTGTTGGTATTCACCGTGAAGTGGCAGAAATAAAGGGAACTTGCAGTTGCTAGTCTGTGGTTTTACACTTGGAGTTTAATACCATTAGGCACCTCAGCACCACAGAGCTGCTCACTCACTCCTCCTGAGGCAGGAAAGGGGAGAGAATCACAGGAATAAAAGTGGGAAAAGTCAGGCTGAGGGGGAAAAAAAACCAAACCAAAACACAAGTGATGCAGAAACATCCCAGTTGGTCACCACCAGCCAGTCCTTGAGCAACAGCAGCCCTGGCAAACTTCCTACCCAGTTTTTCATCACTGAGCATGACGTTATATGGTGTGGGACTTCCCTTTGGCCAGTTGAGTCAGCTGGCCTGGCTGTGTCTCCTGCCAGCTTCTTGCGCACCCACAGGCTCTGCTGTCATGGCAGGGTGAGGAACAGGAAAGGCCTTGGCTGTGTAAGCACTGTTCAGCAGTAATTAAAACATCGTGTGTTATCAACACTGTTTTCATCTCAATTCCAAAGCACAGCTACTACAAAGATTAATTCTGTCCCTGCTACAACCAGTACAACAGCGATCTCTAAATCGGAAACGAGAACAAAGAGCTGTAGGTGGGAGCCTCTTCCAAAGCTACAGCTGGATCTGGACAGAAGGATCTCTCTGTAGCCAAGTGTGGGTTAGCTCGGCACGATGGCTCCTTTATCTTGGTTGCAGCCCCTTCACATCTCCTTAATTAAGAGGCAGAGTGGAATGTAGGGATAGGAGTTACGTGGGAATCTTGGTGAAGGGAAAGAAATAATAATCTTAAGTGGGTCTTGTCTTGCCTGGTCAGGTCTATGCTAGTAAAAATACTAGGTTGTAATGTTCCAGTTCCTGTTATTTCATGTTTACTTTTTTTTTATTTTTGACACTCTGATTTCTTTTATTCCCCAGCTGACAGGGCTTGTCCTGCAAGGAGCCAAGCGGATGCAGATCAATGTTCATGTCAGAAAACTACCAGAGTTTTTGTAAGTCTCCTCTGCTGCCAGAGTATCTCTGATCTGATTTGATATTCAAAATGAATTTGTCTGCAGCTTTCAGATGGAATATGGGTTGGAGAGATAATGTAAAAGAGAGAGGGGAAATCCAGACAAATCTCAGTTACAAGTGACAGTATCCCTTTATGTGTTCCCTTCATCTTGGGTCATTCTGACATGTTGATTTGCTTGTCACCCATGCTGCGTGGGAACTATTCTTCCCACTTGGCTTCTGAGCTGATGTTTACTGGCACAGCTTTGTTCAGAAGTATTTTACCTGCCCGATCCTCGCAGGAGAGTGGGTGAAGTTTCTTCACAACAGCACCACCTTGGTTTCTAGTGCCCAGGAGCCGTTACATTAGCACAACTTACACATAAGCTGCTATTTCATGTGTGCCAAATGTTGGGGGGTTTGCTGCTGTGCGCCTGCTGCTTGGACAATAGTTTCTGTGTTTTACAAACAGGAGTAACCTTCAACAT